TGTATGTCGACATGTTCCCGTCGACATCAGCATCGCGATCAGATCCAGACAAGGATCACTAGTAGGTTCAATTCCATTGTTGAAAGCAGTTGATCGTGCGCCTCCCAGTGCGGCCCGGCACTGACATAGACCAAACGTACTGGGACCCTGCGCCTGATCCAGCTGGGACCTCCGCACGGACTGGTGACGTTCTGCGACCGTTTTGGTGACTTCGACATGTCCTGTGTAAGCAGTTGGAGTTGAAATGATCAAGTCAGGGTGCAAATCAACTGACAATCGCTAGACTGCAGCCGGCTGCAGGTCTTTCCGCAGTCTAGCCTTCCTAGCCTAGCCTTGGTGCAAATCAATATCATCGGCTGAACGGCTGAAGAGTGGGTTTCATCCACATCCCGAACCGCAGGACTATCGCATTGTCCGGGAGCTTAGAGAAGCGGCAGACGTGACACAGCTTTGGCAGCTAAGAGATCTGAAAAGGAGGGAGCTTTGCTTTTGCCTGATTGGGACGTTTTTCCCAATCAGGTCACAGTTTCTGGAATATGTCCAGTGTCCTCAATAAGACTCTACAAGTCGAAACTCCTCGCCCGGAATGGTTTATACCAAAATGAGGTGCATAAACCTTCGCGGGGGGGGACAGAGCGGAGAGCTGGGAGAGCCGCCGGACGGACGGAGCTGCCGCTCGGGACTTCACGAAGCGGAGGCCGCCTCGACGTCCACCTTCATCTTGCCCATCTGGGGCCCTCCGGAGTGCTTCGGCGATTTGGTAGGCCACACCGCCCGGGGGCCCAAAGAGATCCAGTCCGTAAAGAAGATGCTTTGAGCTCTTAGGTTCAGACATATATGAGACATTCATAGATATAGACAATAGATAGATAGATGGATAGATGGATAGATAGATAGATATATATATATATTGATAGATAGATATGAGTTGAGTCAATTGAGACTTCGCATCGAAGCAATATCCACAGAGTATCCATTCCCGTCATCATGTCCTTTCATATGTGGGTGATTAAACAAAGCTGACTATGGGAACAAGGCTGTTTCAGCAAGAGTGGATGCAGCAATATCTGTGGCATTTTCTGGGATGACTGACACGGGAAACCAAGAGGGGTCCCCACCGCCGCATCTGGTCGTTGCATCATTATATATGACCACTCTTAACATATCTTAACAGCCGAAATCAAAATGCCTGCCATCTGCACAGTCGAACATGCGAACGAACAGATCTGTCGACCTGCTACCTGTCTCGACCTTCTTACCCGCTTCGTCGTCGAGCGCGTCTTCCGTCTTCCGCCCTGAATCCGTCGCTCCGCGTGGCTTCTCAGAGCGCTCCTGGGGCGCGAACGCTCTGCAGGTGGCCATGCAGCTCTGCTACAACCAGGGCCCTGTCCGAAGCGCCCAGATACCGCCGGGTCGGAAGCGCGAGACTGACCAGCGGGCAGTTGCGAGACAGGTGTCTTTGGAGTTTTTGGGATTGCGATGTCGTTGGAGGTGAGGGATTTACATGGGACTTACGAATTTGCCACGCTTTTGGGCGTGAATTCAGGTGAATTCTCCTTTGTGTATGGTGACAGGCCGTCAAAGCAAAGTCATTGACCTGAATTTTCTGGGTGTGCAAGATGTCAGGTGCTTAATTGCACAACTTGGTCCGGAAGACCACTTGGCAAACCTGAAATGACTTGAGGCATAGGGACCTGCGAAAAATGTCTCTCAACTGTTGAACTGTCCATATGCATCCCCAGAATTTTCAGAACATCACTGTAGAGAAATTGCTGGATCGTTTCACCCAATCCACGGCCCAAATCCATGGCCCATGCACTCACCACCCACTACAGCTGAGGTGAGTGCCCTGACCATGTTGGAGTACGGTGTGATCCATCAGTGCCAACGAGGTCCCTTTGCCGCTTTCACGTGCGTGGCCGGCGCCTCTTTGTTTCGGCGGCGGTCCCTATCGATCCGAAAACGAGTCGCTTCCGGGCTGGCACTGGCCGCACTGGACCTGAAGCCATGACTAGCTCCTGACTGGCCCTGTGCAGTCATGTCTTGACTGGTTTAGAAACCGAGGGGTTGAGCGGGTCGGTCGGCGGGCGGCTGAGACGACTCTCGTCTCTCTCGGTCACTGCGGTGTCAGGAGAGGAGGAGACCCAGTCCTCTGCCGCAGAGGTTGCCAGGAGCATCGGGGGTGGTGGCAAGGAGCATCGGGTGTGTTTAGTTGATGGTGTTGATGTAAACCCTAGAAGTCCAAGGACTATTTAGGGTACCACCCAAGTAAAGGAAATTCCTGAACACGGGTCATCCAACGCCCAGGTTTAAGATAGTATTGGACTTCCAGGGGTTTATGTATTTGTTGTGTTTGTTTAAGGATTATTGTTTCTTGGAAGGTCAGCGCGGACCTGGCCAGCACCTGTGACCCAAGTGTACCCAACAAACACCACCAGAACCATGCAACATATACTACATTTGAACCAGAACAAGGGACATTTGCAGAAAGCGGTTATTTGCAATGAGGCTGATTAACTAGTCTATATTTGAGGTTCTGAATGAAAGTTAAAGGGCTTTTGTTTCTTGGTTCCTTCAACAAGTTCTGGGAATTGGGGTCAGGTGCCCAAGTAAACTCCCTAATCATTGGTGTTCAACCCAACACACATCTTACTTTTCAATTTTTGTGGAAAAAAAGAACTGAGAAGGTAGAGTTGCTTCGTGATTTCCCACTGAATCATGTTCACCAAGAGGAGTACGATCGCACACTCTCGCACACTCCACGCACCTCACCCGGGCCGGAGGCGGATTGCATCCACACCCAGCTTGGCCGCGAACCTGGCCACGAAACATCAAGAAGCGACCTGATACGTTTGGAGCAGAACCTACCCAGTCGGCGGTGTGTTTTTTGCCCACTCAAATCCGTGGAAAAAGACAAATCCTTTATTTCCTGGAAAACGGAGAACTTCAGGATGCAAAACCCTGCAAAGTGCTGCTTACTCGTCCTGAATTTCAATGACTTGGACAAAATCCACACGATTTGTCTGGCTTTTGGTTGTGTCCACAATTTTGTAGGTGATCATTTCTGAAATTGCAGCACTACAAGAGGAAATGAGAAACTCGAGACTTGATGTGATGTGTTTTTTTTTTGACGTTTGGTGACATGTCTCTTCCTTTGCAGATCTCTTGTCTCTTGTGTCTCCTGGATCTACTGATATGACAAAAAGAGGAACTAAGAACCACATCAAACAAGCAAGCGGATGCAAGTGGTCAAGTCCATACCACGAATCCATACCAGAATATATGCTTCATCACGAGCTCGCGTGTCATCGCTGAGGCCTGTCATCAGAGCACGACGATGTTGAGCCCCGCGATTGAAAAATACGCCTCCATCGTCGCACGTGGAGGTGCCACCGTGGATGGAGCTTTGCAGCGACCGAGGGACTGTCAGCGCTGTGTGCCAAGCAGAGCTGCGACCATGGCAGCAGACAAAGAAATATAGATCCCAAGCCTTCCATGGGACTGACATTAGTTACATTTATACTGTCATTGACCGTCTCATTTACCATTCATGTGGGTAATTATTCCAGTCCCATGGATGGTTTGGGGATGGTTTGGGGATGGTTTGATGACTAGGTGATCCTATCGGTGTGACATGGTGAGGAACACAGTCCAACCCCATCCAGTAGGAGTCGGAGGGATTGGAATCTAACTGGGAGAGCTCCAACTTCAATTGGTAAAACCGTAAGAAGGCAACCCAAGCGTTTATGGTGGACTCGACTTAAAGTCAATCAAGGTGTTCAGCCTGTCCAACACATCTATGGTCAATCAGAAGAGAGTCTAATCAGATGATAGAACATAGGAGGCTTTTTCCACTCGAGGTCAATCAAGGTCTTCTCCACTCAAGCTCAAACAATGTGTTCGCTCACGGTGGTCAGTCAGAGGTTCAATTTCTTTTTGACGTCTTTGAACATAATGAGGACTATCTCTCCCAAAAATCATGAGATGCTTGTTGCGATTTTTCTGAAGGCGTCCGTGCTTAGCCGGGTCTTTCCCCGGCTGCCGTGGCAGGGAAGCTTAGCAGATGCAGTCAGTTCGTCCTTCCACCAGTGGGAAATAGACATGGACTCTGCCATGACCACCTCATTAGCTCCATCACATGTGAGCGCACGTGAAAATTCAGCACCCCATGGCGTCGAATGTCGTATTCTTGGAGTTTGGGTCCGTGGAAAAAGCACAAGTCCCAGGAGTCACAAAGGGGTGGTGTTTAGTCACCAAGTGATTGGATCATGGGCACCCCTAACCTCCATGGATCGCACCCCATCTTGTGACTCCTGGTCCATCAGTTTGGATTTTGGGGGTGGGTTCGCTGGTGTCCACTCTCCATGGCAGGCTCAACGGTGTAGACCGGGAGGCTGGTAGACTGGTCCATTTCCGAACCGAACTCAAGGGGTTTGTTGCCTGGGAGGTCTCCCTATTTGAGCTACACACCCAATGAGCGTTTGAGACATCTGATGTGGTGATGCTTTGGGTTTGGCCTGGGGGAGATCATCCGGCGCAGACTGGGTCAGTCCGCCCAGTGTCATGGAGCGGAAGTTCTTTCGGCGTGCCGAGAAGACCGGGTTGATCATTTGTTATGGTTTTTTCTGCTTTGGCAGATCTTGAGCATTTGATCAGCCTGCTTTGCTCCAAGCTTGAAACCGCAGCTGTTCAAGTCATTCCAGGTCTTCGACCTGACTGTCGGTCCAAAAAAGAATGTTTTGGATACGGCCAAGATATTCAAAGGCACACAGGTGAGTACTTCCACTGCGGCAGAAGCATTGCTTGAAGTGATTCAGTTCAAACAACTATATACATTGACTCAAGATCTTTCGCACATGTGGTCAAAACTCAGAAGCTAGCTAGCCCTTGCATATGCTGAAGAATTCAGTTTTCCGCATGTCCACGCCTTTCCTTTTGGTTTGTCATCCTATTCACACACGAATTCAAATCAGAACTGAACCCAGCTTTTCAGCCTGGCCGGCCTTGAATTCCCGGGCCTTCCGACCGCCCCCGATTTCGGCGCAGACGTCCGGGGACGGTCGATGCTCATGTTGGTGGGCTACGAAGATTTCCGCTGGGACACCGCAGTGGCATCCGATTGGCGATGGCCAGCTGGAGGAGTTTGTATCTATTTGGCTGTGGTCTTTGCACTGGGCTACTGGGCTTGGTGTTTCTTCGAACTTAGGGGATACAGGGCTGAGTTGTCAACAGCCAGGTCCGCATACGGAAGATGTCATGTCATGAATGATTGCGGTACAGCGTTCTTTTTTGTTGCTAAAGGTAGGTTTCGACAGTAGCCAGGATATTGACAATTTGTCCCAAACCAAACTTGAGTAACTATAGGAAACATTGCAGGCAGGATACTTCACTTATGTTTGCTTTTCTTATCCTCCATTAGTGGAAAGAACCGGGTTCTACAGTATGCGCCTTCAACTCGGGCCGTTTGGGACTTTGCGGCACTTGCTTGTATAGCCCTGACCGTGGTCAAGGCCTTCTGATGAAGAATTCCAAGCCATTCGACCTTCAACAAGTGACTGTCTATCACAACTTGCTCTTATCCATCAGCTCACTCGTCACTGGGCTTCTTTGGTGATTTTTGCGAGGTTCCAACGGCATGGGTGGTTTTCTTCCAAAAGTCAAGATGTCATGACTCCTCAACTTCAACTGGTTGGTTGTTGGTTGTGCTTGAACGGAGTGTCAAAAGGTGACCGAACAAGCTCAGGGAAAAACAGATGAGATGCAACGGTTTGTCCAAGACTATGACTGTCCTGGATTTTGAAGTTGGGGGGGCGAGCATGCGAGACCCCTTTTCAGTCTCGAATGTTCTGCCTGGCGAGACCCCAACAAGAACGGATTTTGAGTTTCGACTTTCTGCCCTCTTCACAAAACTATTGGAAAGTCCCCCGAATGGTGGCACTAGGGACGGCACAGGGGATGACAGTCATTTTCCGAACATGATATTGGAAATTTTATTAATTATAGTGATATTTTGTCGGATGTCATATGATATCAATCCCAAACATGATATTGATGATATATTGATGCTACTAATACAACGCAATTGATGATGTGCATCACCGTTGGTTCCGAAAACGCCTGTTTACAAGGGGAAGGCAGGAGCAGGGGGACCGTCCTTGACGAAAAATCGGTTCCGGAAGAAGCATACATGTTGTCTAGTAGCTTGTGACAGCTTGTGGGTTGCTATGTTACTTGAAGCATGTTCAACCCCAACGGTTCTCTTCCTTCAACCAACTGTTTTGTTCATGTTCCAAAGTGAGCTTCTGGGCCACTCCCGTTTTGGCATGTTTTGGACCGGTGGCCGGGCCATGTGTCCAGCATCACACCAAACTCGGTTTGGCGAAAAGTCGGGAAATGTCGTAAACACAACGTGAGCACAATGTGAACAGCTGGACAAACAGTTTTGTTGAATGAACTCGTCATCGAGTCATCCATGGTATCCCAATATAGAAGATCCCAAGCACAGGAATCCCTTCCAAAGCATGTCATAGAACGCTATGATGTTTCTTTTTGCTATTTTGTCGGGAACTCCGAACACCATCGGTTCAACGAATGCAGGTGATGTTCCTGGGCACGGTGCTTGAGCTCTTGCGCAGATGGTCTACATCCCACGACTTTCAGTGGTTCTTTTGTGAAGATCCAAAGGCACTGGCCGTTGGGCCACTGTACTTCTGGTCTTATGTGTACTACTTGAGCAAGTACTATGAGATGCTGGACACTGCGCCAGGGTTTGCCAGTAAGTTGATTTCTTCTGAAAGAAAGGACATGTTTATTTGCATTAATAACTATATGGGAACCTGTGATAAGAGTTGATTCGTGCGTTTTTTGAGGAGGTGTGCTGCTCAGTCGGTAAGTCTTAGACTGCACCAGCGCAGTCAAAGACAGTCTAATACAAGTTCTTCTCACCCGCCAGCCAGCCCGCCCTCTCCCCACCCACAAGTTGTGGGAATTCCATGCGCTTGATGCGCAACTCTGCCGGTGAATCAAACAGTCATTCGTCAGTGGATGCGACTCAGTTTTCAGAGGCATGTTGATTGAACAATCTCGTGATTGAGAAACCCAACTGTTTAGACGACAGAAGCTCCTCCAGGTGGATTCTCCAGCTGGATGAATCCAGCCGGGTCGATTCTCTCCCTCAGAAGCTCCACCAGGTGGAGTCCAGAGAAGCACGTCCAGCCGCGTTCGAACCAAGAAGCACGTCGCCTCATGTCACCTCATGGTGCGCTTCGCCGTTCAGGTGCTGGTGTTGTTGCAGAAGAGCCGCGTGCCCCACTTCAAACTCCAGGCGCGCGCGCGGTCCGGCGATTCCCGTCCGGCGGGTTCCCGACCGGCGGACGGCGCCACGACCGGCTCCGGAGCCGGGTCGTTCGGCCGGGACCGTTCGGCCGGTCCGGGGAGATGTTGGGAGTCATTGGGCGGTCGGAAGACCTTCCAATGGGCCCACGCCAGGCGTAGATGGCGTAGCTGGTCAGGTAGGGATCCGTACCGAACCTCAGGTGAGGTATTGACCGGTACCCTCCTGGCACCGGTCTACATAACGGTGTCGAACACATCCACCGAAGCTGAGGTTCGGTACGACTGGATGCCTAGGGATCAGGTTACCTGGACCTTCAAAGGGTTCAATGGAGTAGTGAGCTCGGGGCGAAACCAGCCAGGTGACCCGGAGCAAATCAGGTGCTGGTCAAGTAGCAGATCACGGCCGATGAGGGGATTGTTTTGTTTTACTTTTTCTGAATGGTCCTAATCGATTGCAACCTATCGCAACCACAAAACAGAATTCGAAGTGTAGAAATATCTTCTGGGGATGCGGAAAACTGGTGCAATCAGTGGATAACCTTGAAACCATTTTTTGGGGTGGTTTTTCCTCCACTAACCCCGAACCGGTGGAAAAAGGTGACGGTAACCGGGGGGTCAGTGGGCCAGCCGCGACGCGCGAGTCCTGCGTGCTGCTGCAGGTCTATCATCATGCGGCGGTGGTTCCAATGGCCTGGCTTTGGTGCGAATGTCAGCAATCACTACAGTGGGGAGGACTACTCTTCAACACCTTGGTGCATGTGGCCCGGGAGAAGAGAACAAACCAATATCCGTTGTGTGAGACCGGGAGAATTCAGGTCGACCGTTTGGGCAAGAACTAGCTCTTTTTGACAAAGTTTGGATTTAAGAGAAACTCCCATGCACATGAAAATAGTGAACCACGTCCTGCAGTCAATGACCTCATTTTACTGGTCGCGGTCATACCAGAACACTACTTAAGGATGTAAAAGGCAAGATTTTACTGGGTCTTTGGACTTGTAGGGACACATATATATGGCAAGGTTTTCCAGACACCAGAGCATCCACTTCCTCACTGATCCATGTTCCAGCTTTCGTGTGGAACATATACATCTCGCGACGAGGTTCGAAAAGCAACGCATCACCCTGTTTAGGTTCCCTGAAGAGGGAGCTCTGGCTGTTTTGCCTTGTTAGCCTCGAATATTTAAGAGCGGTGGGTGGTCAAAGTCCAATGTCCTTACAAATCCAACACCGGCCTTAACACCCCCCCAGCATCCTCATATGATAATGTATGGTGCATTCCTCAAGAATACAGGTGGCCGAAAGGATTAGTTGTACAAGCGTGATGCTGTGAGCTTTTTGTTGGTAGGATGCCGGTCGTTGGAAAAAGAGTTGGGTGGGTGACTAATTCCTGAAGCAACAGCTCGTGTTTTACAGTGAGAATGAGGTGATTATGTATCACTACTATGCGATGAAGATCTTAAAACGTCCTACGCCATGGAAGAAGTGGATTACCAAGCTGCAAATCTTGCAGTTCGCCACCAGTTTTGGTCTGTTGGGCAAGACTTTGTGGATGAGCTTTGGTCAGGGTGCCTCCTGTGCGGGGATGAAGGCTTTGCTCTACAATTGCATCTTCAACGCGACCTTGATCATCCAATTCATCGACGTGGACAAACAGAACAAGGACAAAGAGAAGAAGCCAAAGTAGCCTTCTGCCTGAGTCTTCCGCGAGCGTTTTCACGAAAGGTAGCCCTTTAGGGGATACCTTGAGTTTGTCTTGCGAAGCAAGTGTTGGGACGTCCGGGTCTAATAATTGATCGCTCAATTCAGACCCCCCCCCCCCCCCTCCCCCCCTCTAAAATCAATTCTCTCCTGGAGATCGTCTTCGTGAGCCTCTCATGATTTCAGGATAGTTGAAACCCTCTTGAACATTCAGAAAGAGTGAATATGAAATTCTAATCACGAAAGGTGTTCTGTGAAGCGCGTCAATTCTCTCCTGGGGAGCGTCTTCGTGAGCCTCTTATGGTTTCAGGATAGTTCAAATCCTATGATGTTCTGATTCAATGCTCACCGATGATCTGAGCCATGGGGCAAGTTTGTTTTCCTAAGAATCTTTTTGAACATTTCGAGAGCACATGTTTGAACATTTAAAGTGTGTCAATGTTGCGAATGCACATGTGAGATTTGTTTTCCATTTTGCAATGCATTTCATGATGAGAGCGGATAGATGACATTCGAGTCACACCGCAATCGAATTTCAATTCTCAAATCCGGCCGAAGGGCCCTTGAGTCACGTTCGGCGACGACCTTCGCCACCCGTTGGCATCGTGAGAAAGGACGCATCGCGGCCTTCGAGTTCTTTTTGGTTGCTTGGAACTTCGTGAGTTCAAGTACTTCGAGATTGGTAGCGGAGCCCAAGACGATCCTCCCGGAATTTGACCAGGGTGAACTTTTTGTTTGAAGACGCCTATAGGGTAATCCTGGCCGGTGAGAATTAGATCATCTTAAAGATCACGTTCAGCAAGGCAGTCACAAATGAGTGGTCAGCAAAGAAGACAACGAGATAGACCAGAAGGTGAACAACCAGTTGATGTCCCCATACCTCCTTCTCCTCCACGTGCAGCGAATGGAGCTAGTCCAGGAACTCCTTCCTCTGGATCCAATAACTATCGTGGATTGGATAGTGGCTTGGCAAAGGCCGCACCATCGGCCGAGGGGCTAACGCAAAGTGGCTATCGCAGCTACAGAAGACGATTGGAATTGTATGCCCTGCAGTGTCGTCGACGCTCAACGGACGCTGAGATTGAAGGTGCTCTTTTGGTCATCAGCCTCCTCAAGGACACTGTTTGTGATGCAGCAGAACAAATAGATTTGAAAGAAATCACAAGTGGAACAAATCCGTTCGCACCTTTGTTCACCATGATGGACCAGCTATTTCAATATGAAGAACAAATTGAGGTTCCATATCGGTGTGAAGAGTTCTTTCAAAGCTTCAATCGTCAGAAGGGAGAAGAAATGCAGGCATATCTCATTCGCCACCGCACTGCTTTGAAGAAACTTCGAGAGGTCAAGATCGACATCCCACCACTTCTTGCTGGATGGCACTTGTTGACCCGAAGTGGAACTCCAAAATGGACACACGTGCAAGTGAAAGCATTGTGCAAAGGCGAGCTTGACTATGAAGAGGTCCAACGAGCTTTGCTTCGAATGTTTGGTGGAGATCACAAACCAAACACCAAGGACATTGGACCTGTGGCCAAGTCATCCAAAGATGAGTTCTTCTACGAGGAAGACTATGATGAGGAGTTCTACTACGAAGGAGAAGAAGAAGATGATTGGCATGAAATCTACTATGAAGGTGATGAAGATGAAGAAGAAATCCCTGAGGAGCTTGAAGAAGCATACGAAAACATGGATGAAGCCTACATCTCCTACTTGGAATCAAGAAAAAGAATGAAAGAACTTGCCTTGGCTCGTGGCTTCTATCCCGTCGTAGCCATTGGTCCTGACTTCGATCATGGCAAAGGAGGCAAAAGCGAAAGAAAGGGAAGCTCAAAGGGCAAAGGAAAGAGTAAAGGAAAAGGAAAAGGAAAAGGCAAAGGAAAAAGCATGTTTCCTCGACGCCCAATGCGTGGTCTTCGAAAGCCACCATCATCGTCGACTACTACCTCCTCCGAGTTGAGATCGACCCTGACCGGTTCAAATTCTTCTCATGGACCGAGGTTCAAACGATACCGAGTGCAAGCACAAGGTGTCAAAGAAGTTGGAGGTGAAGAAGTGACCATGGTGGAGGAACTAGCGGAAGAGTGCTTTCAAGAGGACATCTTCTTTGCCACCCTTGCTCCTGTTCATGCAATTGTGGATTCAGGTGCAACCAGAACATTGGTCGGAGAAGAAGTGTGGAAAGAATGGATCGAGCACTATGATGAAGGCCTACTTGGATCTCTCCGTACTCAGGCACAAAAGCGATCCTTCAAGTTCGGCGGCGGAGAGATGCTTGAATCCAACTACGAAATCTCCTTCAACGCCTTGGTGAAAGGTCAAAAGTTGCCCATCACGGTTTCAGTGGTACCTGGGCACACTCCCTTCCTGTTGGCGAGACCTGTGCTGGAACAATGGGGGGTGAAACAAGACTACGCCAGTGGCAACATGAAGGTGGCTCAATCCGAATGGTTTCAACCAAGTCGTGGACAAAAAGGCCACTATGTCTTGAACTTGTTGGAATATCATGAAGACGAACAAGAGATGAACTACATCACGGAAGAAGAGGTCTTGATCTCGACAAGTCCACTGGAAATTGAACCGCCCTGTGAGACAGAACCGTCTGACATTGCAGAGCAGATCCTCATGGAATCCGAAGCAAATGAAGTTGAAGAGATTTCTCAACAAGTTTTGCAGCGCCTTCAACAAGAAAGAAAATTGATCTTCTTTGAGGTCTATGTGGATGAAGGCAACCTGGCTACAGAACTGTTGAAACGCTTTCCAGACTGTGAGGTCGCTACTTTCAGCCTACCTCACTGGGACTTTGAAAAAGAAAATGACCGAAAAGCATTCCTTAAGTTGGTGAGAGAACAAAAGCCTCACTTCATCTGGTGTGCACCACCGTGTACGAAATGGTCACCAATGCAAAGGCTCAACATGATCAAGGCCGAAAAGCTAGCCTACATCCTGGAATTGCAAAAGCAAGAAGAAAAGCAACATTTGAAACTGGTTTTGGATGTCACCGACATCTGCAACTGGGAGATCAATGCCGGCATGGCCATGGAGCATCCTCATTTGGCTATGTCATGGAAGACGAAAACCTTGGAGTCCATGGATGGTTATGATGCAATCTGCAACCGATGCAGGACCGGCTTGTGCTACTATGATCGCATGGGAAACTATGTCGGAAAGGTCAAGAAACCTACGAGGATTCGCACAAACAGCCAAATGGTCTTTGAAGCACTTGACCTTCCATGTGAATGTCTTCCTGGAGAGCATGTTGCTATGGATGGAAAAGCAGAAAGCCTGAAGAAAATGCAAAACTACGAAAGAGGTTTCGTGAAACGAGCAGCAAATGCCATCTATCAGGAGATGGAAGAACGATGGCGACAAAGAGAGATAGCCAAGATCTATATGGTTGAAGAGCAGGATGAGAAAAACAAAGTAAAGAATGCATCCAACATCACTGAGGAAGAGAAGAAGCTGATGAAGACCCACAGCAAGCAGAACCTACAAGTCATCAGCAAACTGCACAAGCAACTTGGACATCCAGGTGTAGATCGGATGATCAAAACGCTCAAAGATGCAGGTATGGACGAGTCTCTGATCCGATGTGCAAAAGACTACAAATGTGAAGTATGTGAGCAACAGGCACAAAGGAAATTGGAGAAACCAGCTTCATTGCCTCAGGCCAGCCACTTCAATGAATGTTTGGAAGCCGATGTTTTTCACATCCGCTGGAATGGAGAAAAGCGAAAGGTTTTGGCCATCCTCGACATCTACTCCAAGTACGAAATCAATGCTGTGTTGGAGAGAGAAACTGAAGAAGTTGAACTGAAGATACTTCGTGAACAATGGATTCAGACTTTTGGTCCTCCAGAACGATTCCGAACAGACCAGTCAGGAGCACACATGAGTCAGAAGTATCTGGACTTCTTCGACCAATACAACATCAAGCTGATCCTCGTACCCAAAGAAGCTCACTATAGAATGGGATCAGTGGAAAGACTCCACGCAGTGAGAAGAATGCAGCTGCTCAAGATGCAACAGGATGAACCGAATGTGCTCCTTGAAGAAGCTGTTCCAGTTGCTTGTCATCAACGAAACCGCCTTCGTTCAGTGCATGGTAGCTCACCATACCAAATCGTTTTTGGACACAATCCTCAATCGAACGGTCTTTGTGATGAACCGCACTTGTCCAAACCGCTCGATGACACGGAACAGCACCAAAAAGATCAAGCACTTCGGTACTCAGCAGCCAAAGCATTTTATGAAGCCAACAACAACCAGCTGCTCAAACGTGCACTTCTTGCCCGGCCACGGTCTGAACATGTGGCCGCCAGCCTTGGCGATTGGATCTACTACTGGAGACAGGGGGAAAACAAACTTGACCCTACTCGCTGGCGTGGCCCTGCATTGGTCTGCGCCATAGAGCCCCGCAAGAACGATGACGGCCGCATCCGAGCTTCTGTTTACTGGGTTGCTCATGGCTCCAGTTTGGTGCGTGTTGCAAGTGAGCATATTCGTGCCGAGGTGGCTCGAGAAAGAGTTCATCGCCTGGAAACGCAACCTGACACAGCTGTTTCGAACAGTTTGGTTCATCGAGTTCGACAAGCTCTGACCCCTGTGCAGGGTCCTGTGCGTTTTCTTGATCTTGCAGGGGATCCCACCTTTTCGAATGCAAAGGCTGAAACTTCTGTCCCTTCTCTGGTACCACCAGAGACAAAGGCTGAAACTTCTGTCCCTCCTCTGGTACCACCAGAGAGTCCAGAAGTTCCAATGTCAGAACCTCAAGCCGAAGAAGAAGTGACAACAGAACCTCAGCACACTGCGGCAGCAGCAGAACACAAGACAGCAGCAGCCAGCACGGCAGCAGTTGAAGTAGAAACAAAAGAAGACCAAGATCCAAGTGGCCGAGGAAGATCAAGAAGCCCTCCACCTCATGACTCTCGGCACAAAGACTTTGAAAACCTGTATGAGTCCTACAACAAGGCACGTCAACTTGATGGCCTCCCGCCTGTTTCTCGAGATGATCATCAGCTGAAAAGTCAATATGACATGCTGTATGGTGAGGAAGTTGACTGGCTGGACGAAAATTTCATGGCCACTTCATTCAGTGAGAAAAACCTCACCAAAGAGCAGAAAGAAGAGT